TCAAAAAATATGGATATTTTAAGGGCAAAAATGAATTGTTAATGTAATAACAAGAAACGCCAACTTGCCCAACTATATTAAGAAAAATAATAAAAGTGATAAAAGTCTAATAAATTAATGTAAAACACTGTGGGGGGGACTCCATTTGTAAGAATCAAAATTACTAACTTGCCTTATAAAGGATTAATAAAGGTAATCTACTCACATCCTCATAGATGTCAAAGAAAGTAGCCATGACGGCCTTCTGGATCGCTCCCAGGTCCGTTTGGTCCCAGTGGATCCGAAACATCCGTCCAACACCAGCACAGTCGGGGACATTACAGATAACGTTCTCCAACAGGAAGGCCCGCTGATCACTGAGAACAACAGACAAACACAGCATTTAATCGAGGTGTCAAACAAGGTGATACTTGGATCTGGTTTCATTTAGCTGCTGAATCATTGAATAATCCCAACAGTTTACAATCCGTGCCATCTATAGACCAACTCAGGTGTGAAGCTAATCCCACCTGAAAAAACAGCTCATCCAACCAAACTAGATCATTAGAATTCAGTTTAGTTTCTTCTTTCGGAGGTAAATGTTGAGTTTAACAAATCAAGGCCTTTTCAGGCCATACTTTAGATCTTTAACAGCTATTGTATATAAACCAAACACACCGTGTGCTGCATTTTGGTTATAACTAACTTGCACCCTAAAGAAGAAAGGCTAATATTCCCTTATTACTCCTCCATTAAGCTACTTCATCAGATCTAAAAGCTTTTATTTTCATTCTATTGCTGAGTATCTGTGGTTGGAAACCCATGTGGTGTTATTCTATGAACACAGACAGACTGAGATTGATTTTAGGAGAAATGAATTAAATCCCTACAGGTCTAACCTTCTTTTTTCCACGACGTTTACCTTTTACTTTGTCTGCTCAGAATGTTTCAACACCATCCTGTGTTTCACTGGGGAACTAAACTGACCTCTTTCTACTTCTATTTGAAAAAATCCTGCTTCATTCTCAAATGTAGAAGTATATTTCAAACCTCTTCTGGCATTGATACAACTAATATAAAACCAAATATAATACCAAATTATTTTAGTAACTTCTGAGACTGCAAATCAGAGCTGCTGTTGCTATACTTAAAAAAACACAACAACTAAAAAGATAAAACAACTCAATACAAAATGTAATTTGATATAATGCTGAATGTTAAATAATCTATAACTGTGCAAATAATGCATATTACTGTAAAGATATTTTTCTAAATTTTACTTAAATGTAGCATTTCATGCAGTGGATCTTGAATTAAAATGTTATGGTAACCACACAAAAAAATAAAGTATTAAAAAGGTTTAAGGAAGAGAGCGTTAATTGTGTTAATTGCTAAGTTGTAAAACACAATATCTTAAATGTTTATCTTTTGTTTTTAAGATATAAACTAATAATGAGCAGCTTTAGAAAAACAGCAGCATAACCTTCTTATTATAACACTGCGTGGCTTCAGGACTACTTTGCAGCTTTTGTTAAAAATGTACTTCCCATGATAAACAGGTCCTACTTAGCAGTATTTCTACCACACCTGGTTCTGATGTGTAAGTTAATGTTTGCAATGATCGAAAAAAAAAAAAAAAAAAGCGTAAAAAGAAGTGTATGTGAGTGAATTTTATACCATTATTGTTCGAAGCATAGAACATGTTTTGTAAAAGGAAAAACCTTATCATTCTGGATTCCATTTTTTCCAATATTATTTACCAAACATATTCTTGGCTTGTAATGATTAGTAGTCAGTATAAAATACCTTTAATATATTAAGCTGGAGATATT